CCCCCCCCCCCCCCCCCCGGGCCCCCCCCCCCGCTTTAATTGTGCGTTATTCATCTGCTCAGCTGTCCGGAGTGGGCTTGGCAGACCCCGTCGCCAAGGCCTCGGCTAATTGCAAGGCCGGGGGGGGTTAGGTCCGGCGATTACACCCTTCATGCTGTAATTACATCAGCATCGCTTGGCTGCTGCCCCGAAGGTCATGCGCTGCGTTACCTGAGATTAATTGGCACTGCCAGTGAAGTGCGAGGCTCTGGCGGAGCAGTTATGCGATTAGCATTAACATTTCAACAGCAACGGATCGATCCGTGGCTGTCCTCCAGACACCGGGAGCTATGCAATTAGTTTAGAGGAAGGAGGGCGGAAAAAGGGGGGGCGGCGAGAAGAGGGGAGGCCGGAGAGACAGACAGAAGGGAAGGGGTGGAGGGGGGCGCGTGGTGGGGGGAGAGACAGATGGGACAAGAACCAAAGAGATGGGGCTTCCAAGGAGGGCGGTTTCATCCGTGTTTGCAGCTTGGGGGCATGGAAATTCTGCTCCCCAAATGCCCGCTCCCGGCTGGAGACGTGTCTTTTGACAGCCCCCGCTAAGGACGTTGGGATCCCCTTGCAATTCTAGAAGGGGTGTGTGTGTGTGTCTGTGTGTGTTTGTGCACGCTCTGTCTTCCCACCCACCGAGCATCTTCATGGAGCAACTAGCCCTGCCAAGAAGCATCTGACTGTTGGCACCGATTTGGCACCAACTTGCTTGGAGGGCCAGCTCCTTTTAGAATTGGGGGGGGTCCAGCCCATCTAGTGGGAATTTGTCGATCATCCAGAGCAGGGGGGGGCAGGCACAGGGGTGAAACGCACTGCTGGGCCTGTTCCAAAAGCGCACAGCCCCAAATCCCAGGACTGTGGGCCCCCCTGGTGTATCCTTGGGTTGCGCCCCCCCACTCAGTTCTTACCCATTTTTTAAATGATCCATACAGGGCTGGAATGTAATTGCCTTCATCCTGCTTCCTTTTAATGAAGTGGCGAGGAAAGTGGATTTCGCTGGTTTTGGAAGGTGGCCCCCGGGAAGCTGCGGGAAAGCCAGTTGCAGCCCCCCAGCTTGAAAAAAGTGATGTTTTCTTGGGGCGTTTAACAGAAGGAGAAGGAAAAAGACCTGCGCAATGCTTCAACTTTCTCCTTGCCCCCCCCAGGCAAGCCTTTGATGTCCTCTTCTTCTTTTCCTCCCTGCAGGGAGATGTCCCACCCGCCCCCTCTCCTGTCGCCGCAGAACGCTCCCCACATTGCATTGGGACCTCACTTGAGGCCCCCTTTCCTGGGGGTGCCTTCAGCTTTGTGCCAGACACCAGGTAAGGGTGCCCTCTGCCTTGGTAGTGCCCACAAAGGGTTAGGAAGGAGTGGGGGAATCGAGGCTTTAAACTTGGAGGAAGGGGGAATAGTTTTTGTTTCCACCCTAAGGGCCAGTGAAGGGAGTGGGGCTAATACAGAGGAAGAACTGGATGGCGGGGCTGGGGCAGGGAGCCCAAGAATTTCGGTCCTCTCTTCCTTCGCTCTGCTGCTGCTTTCATTAATTTCTTCTCTCTGTATAGTCTCTTCCTTCCCCCCTCATTAATGCAGTCCATTAATTAATTAATGAGTTTGCTAATTCTCACTCATTCTGTGTCCTTCACTCCTCTCTCTCTTCCTCTTCTCTCCTCTCTACCTGCCTACCTACCCTCCTTCTTTTTTCTATTTTCCTTCCTTCCTTTCCTTTTCTTCCCTTCTGTTTCCTTCCTTCCTCCCTCCCTCCCTCCCTCCCTCCCTCATCCTTTCTTCTTCCCTGTTTCCTCCCTCCCTCCCTTCTCTCTTTCCTTCCGTCCCTCCCTCCCTCTTCCTTCCTTCTTCCTTCCCTCCTTCCCTCCTTCCTCTGTAACTTTTCACTCATTAATTCATCTCTTTCTTTATTTCCAAGTCTGCAACAACCTTCTCTTTTGCACACACTGTACCCGCTCACCCGTTCTCTTGCGCGCTATTTCTCATAATCAGTTGAACACAGGTGAGGGAAGGGTGGGGAGGGGGGTCCAGATCTTGGTGGCCCGAAAGCCCACCTTTTCCCTGTGCAGCTGGATCTGTTGGGGAACCTAGGATGCCGCCTTAAAGTGGCCCCACAATGTTGGTCTGTCTAGCTTAGAGAGCCAGATGGGCGCAGTGGTTAAGAGATTGGGAGTTGCAGTCCTCCCATAGGCACACAAGTTGCTTGGGTAATCTTGGGCCAGTCTCTCTCGGCCCAACCCACCTCGCAGGGTGGTTGTGCAGAAAGGAGGAGGAGGAAGTGTTCTGTGTGCGGCCTTGGGTTGCAGAAAAGTAAAGCAAGGATATCCATGGAGTGAGTGTGAAGAGTTTGCTAACCGTGCCTGACTCTCACGATTTCTGGACGGATGTTTTTCCAACCCTACCTGGAGAACGCATGGAATTGAACCTTGTGCATGCAGAGCCCAGCCCCATCTTTGACCTATGTGCCCCTGCCTCTCTGTGGTAGGCTGAATTCACATGGTTTCCCCCCCCTTCAAGGTTACGGGTTCCTCCAACCAGCCCAAGCGGAGATCTTTGCACGTCAGCAGGAGATGCTCAGAAAACAGAACCTTGCCAGGTGAGAGTTGCAACGCGGGTCAGTACAGTACAGATCACTTCCCTTTACCCACGGGGCTTGGCACCGGGTATCTCCTGCCCACCCCTTCATTCATCCGTGGAGGACCAGCGATTAGCTGGTAGACTACACAGGGCCAAAGTGATGGGGCCGTGCTGGGCACATCCTCTTCATGCAGGGGTTTTCCTGGGCAGCTGGCCTGGTTTGAAGAAAGCGAGGAGAAATGGGAGATGTGAATTTCACTGGTTGTGCCTGGCAGTGCCCTCAGTGCCTCCCACACTAGGTTCTGCTTAGCCCCCGCGCTGACTGGGAGGAGGCAAAGGGAGAAGTGCCAGGCAGGATCCGAGAATAAAAAGTGAAGTTGAGCTGGCCACTTCCTGAAAGTATCCATGCAGGTTTCTGAGGAACAATATGGAAGTAATTTCCCCTTGGCCCCTTGTGGGGGGAACTTTTCCCCCCGTATCTCAGTCTGTGATTTTCTTGTGATCTCCCATCCAAGTGCTAATCCAGCTTGCTTAGCTTCTGAGCCCAGACAGAGTATCAGGAAAACGAAGTAGAAGAGATGGGTTAAACCCACTGTATTGCCTGAAGTTTCAAGGGTGGAAAATCTCTCGTTCTTCCAGATGTTACTAGTGTTCAGCAGAGTCTCAAATGTGACACGTTTGCCAGGCCTAAAGGGGCCCTTTTGATTGCTCTAGATTTGTTTAAAAGCATCCCTCACAATCACACGGTGAGGCAGATGACTTAATCCCATTTCACAGGCAGGGCCCTGGGTCTGAGAGGGAAGGGGGTGCGGTCCTTGGTGGCAGAAGTGGGATTTTGATGACATCTCCCCCTCCCCGAACCCGACTCGCTTTCTACCTGTGTAGGCTCGAGATGTCCGCGGAAATTATCCGGCAGAAAGAACTGGAGAACCTTCACCGCCAGCGGCTCCTGGCTAGCGACCCCATGAGTTTGCACCCAGGTCTGCCTCCGGACCACCCAGCCTTGCGCAGCCTCCACGATATCCCGGAAGGACACCCGCTTCGGGATGAGCTCTCGCGGAGGAACGCCATGCTGGTCCTCCGACATAACAACGCGCCGCTGCTGTCACTCAACCACCACGGGGTGCCCGCGGCCTCCACCACCCCTCCGAAGGAGCAGGGCACGCGAAGAGGCAGCCGGAAGGCCGCGCACCCTCGCTCCGAGGCGCCGGGCCAGAGTGAATCCAAAGACTTGCTGGTGGATACCCGTCCCCCAGACAGCAACAACGAGGAGATGAAGGACTCGGAGAGCGACGCCGAGGCGAACGACGAGAAACCGGACGCTCTGAAGGCCGAGAACAGCAGTGGGGCCGGCGAGGTCAAAGAATGCAAAGAGGCGGCGAAGGCTTGCGAGGGCACCAAAGAACTGGGCGAGCTGTCGGCCGGGCAGAACATCCCCTGTAGTTCCTCTAACGCGGAGTTGCCCAGCTATCTCCTGGGCCCGGCCATCAGCAAATCAGAGGTGAAACTTCTCCCCACGGCTTCTCTCCCACCAACCCAGCCTCTGCCGTTCGGTTTCCCGTATACGATGAGTCCGTATTTCCATGCAGGTAAGTGGGGGGGGGGACCACTGGCACGCTAAGAGGGGGAACACGCTTTTTTTTGGAGAAGGGCCAAGTCTGCAGAATTCCCCAGGCGGACTCTGGCACTCAGTTTGGGCAAAGTTTTGGGGCAGCGTTTCTGGACAGGGAAACGGAGGCTCCTAATCCCCACCTTTTGGAAACGCCGCACACATTTCCTGCGGTTTCGGAAGGAGCTTCAAGGCAGAGTTTTTTTTTTTTACAAAAATTTTGGACAGGGTCTCTCTAACCCAAGGCACAGCTCGAAATTTCTCTACGCTGGAACAGACGGTTGGCAAAAAGTTCTCCAGGTCTTTCGCCTCCCGTAGCAGAGTTCTAAACTGACCAGTATTTGTGGAAAGATGCACTCTTTAATTTGCAACGTGTGAGTTTTTACTGGGAAGGGTGGAGAGGCTGTGGGTAAAACCTGACACATCGTCCAAAGTAATTTGTGATTTCTCCCAACCCCCCATTTTGGTTCTCCCGTCTGTATGAGTCATTAAAATGTTTCTCATCACATTCCCAGCCCAAGAAATCGTGGGGAAAATGTACATCAGAGTCACGCCTTGGGTTTTGCTTTTTCTAAAGAGAAAATTCTGGTAACTTCTGATGACTTCATAGATAGAATCCACTCAATTTTGTTGGTGGCCGGACGGTTTTTTGCCCGACATTTCTGAACGGTTGTCCATCCAAGTCTTAAACAGTTCTTCAAGGGTTTTTTGAGTTTGGATGTGCTCCGGTTCAGCAACTTGGGCTCAAGCGTGGGGCTGGCAAACTGCAGCCAAGCCATTTGATCTTACTTGGTTAATCAAAAGCAACCCTCGGTGGGTGCTTGAATTGGCTTGCCCCGGCTGGGTTTCCCCAGATGGGATCCTCCAAGCTCAAATACTCGCGGACAGAGTTGGCCCAAGGGGAGGGTGCCTGTTTTCTCACTGACAACTCTGGTCCTCAACTGCAGAATTGACTTTGGAGGAGGAATGCAAAGATGGCCAGCAAAATAGGAATTAAGCCCGGGAAGACAGGAGAGTGTGAGAAAGAAACTCAAGGTTGTCCCGCCTTGATTCTCTTTGGCGTAAGAGGGAGGAAGGGGAAACAGCATTTGGCTTTCAAGATCCGGTTATCAATAACGTTGAATTCTGGTATTTCTTGCGAAGCCCATTTCGTGACCTGGCCAACCTCAAAGGGCTGTGTGGGGTACATATGCAATTTTGTCTTGGGAGCTGGGCGCTGTGGATGAGTGTGGTTGGTCCAGATAACCTTGATGAAAAATGGAGCAGAAAAAAAGGGGGACCCTCCTTGCAAATTGTAGCTTGGCTTGTGAGGCAGACAGACCCTTGTTAGACCAGGCGAGAGGAAAATTATTGATGGGTGGGTTGATCCCCTGGTCCCCTTACGAAAGGTCCTTCTCTGCCCTTTGGGAAGGGTGAAGGCTGGAATTGGCAAGAGGTAAAATCTTTGTATCGAGCTGGAGAGCAATTAATGACAGCCTCGCAGGCCTTGGCCTGACCCCCGTCCGTCCGTGAGACAGCAGAGATCCCTAGATGGATTGAACGCCTGTGTGGATGACACTGCTGAAGAGCCGACGGATCTCTGCAGCTGGGTCTCGCCTCCTGGTTGGAGAGAGATGGGGGAGTCTAGGAGGAGAGCTGCGTTGGTCTGTGCAACCGAGAATTGGAGCAGTCTTGGCGCTTTTTCCCACCCAGAAGCAGAAGCTTTCATGGTACACCCGATGGGGTTTGCAGCGGCTCATGTGAGCTTCTGCCTCTGGATAAGATCCGATCGTCTGAAAAGGCGGAACCGGGCTCCCTTTGATTTTGAGAGGAGAGAGAAGAAAGCTGTAATGTGCTGAAAACATCTGGCGGCAAACGCTTTGCTCTTTGGAGAAGGTCAAGCTGTCTGCGGCGTAAATCAGCTTTGTGCCAGATAGGGCTCCCCCCGCCCCAAGCAGGTGTGAGAGAAGACTAGCAGGAGGATAGCCAAGGTCCCCTGTGTGTGTGTGTGTATCTGTGTGTCTGTAAAGAGCAGGACCTGCAAACGGAGGGAACCTTGTAGAATCCTCCGTGGATGACTCGTGCAAGCAAGCCCAGTTGTATTCAAGATGCCGGATGACCTGGGCATGCATATTCAGTTTAGTTTCTTGCAAGCAAAGGGTCAGCAAGGAAGCATAGGAGAAAGGGCAAGGCATCGTTGGAAGGTTGCCTCCGAGGTCATTCCTGGGGGCGGTCCGGTTTTTGGAAAGAACCATGAGGTCAGATGGGGTTTTATTTGAAGATTCTCTGCATTTTGTTTGTTTAAAACGAGTTTATCCTTCAGTGAAGCCTCAGAATGGCTGGGTGCTTTCCTTCCTTCCTCCCTCCCTCCCGGTGATTCTGGACATTTCTTATCCACCAACATAAAGGAGAAAACATTAAGCCGAATCACTGATTTTTTTTAAAAATGAGGTGGTAGTTCTATAAAGTTCAGGGCCTCTGTTGTCGTGCTGTAATTGGAATGATATAATTTACAGTTCTTGACTTGCTGTCATCTTATCAAATCGACTCCGTAGGAAGGCTAAAACTACTTTTATCGAGATTGCAAAATCTTGCAAGTCGGATTTTGCTGGACTTCCCCCCCCTTCTTATACCCCAGTGAATCAGGGAGGTGTCTGCCTCTTCTACCTCCAAATGTTACCTCATTTCTCAGCTCTTTCTGAATGTTGTCTGGTTTCTGGAGCCTTAAAAAATGTTTCACCCCTGATGCCTAGGGGACGGTCGGTCCCTGCCTGTTTCCATCCAGGTTATCTTCCTGACTCTCTCCATTAACCTTGGTTTGTATGGCTGTTTAGGGAACAGTTTGGTTAATTGTTTACGCTCGGCTGGGTGAGGTCCGGAAATGAATTCGCGGAGTGATACGTGCAGAGGATCCAGGGAGGGTGTCTGGCCCTAAGTTCCCCCAGATGAGGAAAAAAGCAAGATTCCCAGATGCTTGTGGGGAGTAAGGACAAGAGGAGGGAGGGGTCGTGAAAAATATCTCCCCCCAATAATTAGCTTGCAGGCAGGCTGGTCTCCCTGGCCACGTTCTCCCTTCCGTTGGGAGTTGTGTGTGTTCTTGTTTGTCAAAATGATTTGGCTGTTGCTGCCTCCTTTGGCAGATGTCTCTCTCTCTCTCTCACACACACACACACACACACACCCTTCACTTTCCTCCCATCTCCGGCCGGAAACCGCCAATAACATTTGTGAATTTCTCCTCTCCGCTTGCCATCTTTCAGCTCGGAAAGTTTTATTCCCGCAGAAGATGGGGGAACGAACGGTTGGGAGGGAAGTATTTTGACAGAGGCCGTCCCTGCGCGGCCGGGTGGAAAATACTTGTGGATCCGTGCTTGTTTTTTAAGCGTTTGGAAAGGTCTGTGGGTTTTTTATTTTTTGTTCAATAAAACTCCGCTCGGTGGTAAATAAGAGAGGACTTCTCTGCGGGCGCAATCTGGTTGTTTTTGGCTTGGAACCAAGAGAAGTTCGTCCGTCCCTGCTGTGGGGTGGTCAGGCTGTCCTCAGATGATGCTCAAGGGCCATCGTCTGGAAGTTTGGAGGGGAACCTAAAAGATCGTGTGGACGTGAACCTGGTCAATCACTTGATGGTCTCCTGGCCCATCTCTCCCTTCCAACCATTCCGCCTCCTGGATCAGCAACCCGGCCTCCCTTCAGAGGCTGCTGTGGGGTCTCTCTCGTTTCAGCCCTCCTGTTCCTAGATCTGGGGATCTGTCACATTGATCTGGGCTTTCAGACCCGCTTGTTTACAGTCTCGGCATGATGGGTTCCTTTGTTGACCATCAGCACTAGGAAGGAGGTGAAGAAAGAACCTGCCGGTGGCCGAGTTGGGCTTTGGGTCCTGCCACCAAAGGTCCTGCCCCTCGAAGATCCTGCAAAGTCCAGCGTGAATTCCGCTTCTGGGCTGCGTGCAGGAGAGGCAAGGCGATGGAGAATCCGAAACCCAACGCTATTGTCCTCTAGGCATGCACCAAATGTTTTGAAGTCAACCTTTGCATCCTGGAAGCAGCTGGACGTAAAATCAAATCATTCCCCACTTTAGGGTCACTTCCAGCCCTTCCGAGGTTGGAATGCTTTGACCTCAAAACGTTAGACCCGCTTCTGCCTGGTTTTTGAGTCTTGTGCTCGCTCTGTGCTCCTTCCCCGCTGAAAGCAGAGACCCGGCTTCCTTCCTCCTCCTCGACTCAGCCTCCGAAAAATGCTCAGCAGATCGGCCCGACTGGGGAGGGAGAGTCAAAGGCAAGATGGCAGGGAGAGGGGGCATTGGAGAAGGAAGGAAGGAAGGAAGGAAGGAAGGAAGGAAGGAAGGAAGGAAGGAAGGAAGGAAGGAAGGAAGGAAGGAAGGGGAGCAGCAGGGAGGGAGGAAGTAGGAAAGAAATTAGAGGAGTAAAGGAGGAAATTAAAGAGGAAGTAGGGAGGAAGGAAGGAAGGAAATAGAGGAATAGAAGGAGGAAATTAAAGAGGGAGAGGGAGGAAATTAAAGAGATGAAGGAACGAAAGAAGGAATAGAAAGGGAGGAAGGAAATTAGAGAAAGGGAGGGAGGGAAGAAATGAACGGGAGAAAGGAACGAAGGAAAGAATGGGAGGGAGGAAGGGAGGGAGGAAATTAGAAAGGGAGAAAGGAAATAAAAGGAATGGGAGGAAGGAAATTAAAGACGTGAGTGGGAGGGAGAAAGTAGGAAGGAAATTGAAGGAAGGAAGAAACAAGGGAGAGAAAGAAAATTAAAGTAGGAAGGGAGGGAGGAAGTAAAAGAGGAAGGAAAGGAACGAAGGAATAGAAAGGGAGGGAAGAAATTAGAGGAGGAAGGGAGGAAGGAAAGAAAAAGAAACAGGAAAGAAGGAAGGAAGGAATAGAAGGGAGGGAGGGAGAAAATTAAAGTAGGAAGGGAGGGAGGAAATTAAAGAGGCAAGGAAGGGAGGGAGGATGCTCCCAAAAGCCAATCACATTTTGCAAGCGATGGAGGCATTTATTCTGAGAATCGGTGGAGCAGCAGGGGGGCCGGTCAGACCTTTTACCCTGTTTTTTTGCTTTGCTTTTGCTGAGTGATGCCCTGGCGTCAGATCCTGTAAAACATCTGGATAAAACAGAGAGTTTTCCAAGGGAGGCACCTCTGTGGGTTTCTGAAGAGTGAGGATCCAGCATCACCCATCCTGGAGGGGCTTTGAAAAACTTCCACCACCCACTCCCCCTTGCAAGAAAAAGAAAAAAGCCACAGTGGCGGAGGAGGATCAGGAGTGCCATGTTTGTTCTCTGAGACATGGGCAAGAATAAAATAACATGAAGGATCCGCCCTAAACACGCTGCTCAGAGCAACGATGCCTGGGTCTGTCTGACTCACTCGCTTCCTTGGCCCTTCCTGGACCTGCCACATCGCCCCCACCTTGGCACGATCGATCATTAATGGGTTTTTATTTCCTGTTGGTCATTCAGACCCTCCTAAGGCAAACAAGGCTTCCTAGTTGTGGGAGGAGTCTGCCTGATGCGCATCTGTGCGAGTCGCTGTTCTGAGACTTATCCCTCGGAGAGGAAACCCTGTGGTTGGGAAGTCCGGCTTTTCATGCTGGCTGGACGATGCTGGGAGTTGAAGTCCGCACATCTTAAGTTGCCTAGTTTGAAAAACACCGGGCTAAACCAGCTCGTGGTGTGAACCTGGTCCTTGGGTAGAGATTTGGGCAGGACGAGGGATGAGAGACGAGAGGGAGGTGGGTTTCAGCCCCGCCTTGTTCTGCGGCTCAAATGAACATCCGTGCCAAGATGGAGCCAACATTGGAAGCTTTTTCTGTGCTCTCCCCCACTCCCCCCCCCATTAGCCTCTGTCCTTAGTCCATCCATCCTGGGGAGGATAAAGTGCCCAATTTGAAACCACTCGCCTGTTACGGCCAGATTCCCATCCGGACGGATGGCGGCATTCGCTGGAGCCTCATCCGTGCCCAGCCCTCTTCCTTTTCTGGTGGGGCCCAGCCGTCCCTCCAAATGTGGAGGGAGAAGCAGAAAGTTTTTGGAACAAGCAGCTTTGGGCTGGGTGCTGACCTGGGGGGCGGCGGGGAATCCTTCAGGTCGCTTGACGTTCCTAAGTGGGCAAATGTCTGTCTTGGCCTAAAATCCTTTTCGGTTGAGTGTAGGAAAGGACAGGAGTTGTGTAAGTTTCAGGGTTTCAGTGCCAGAGCTGTTAAAACTTTAAACTTCCAAGGAATTTGGGGTGGTTGTTTTCATTTCCTTGTTTGCAACTACAGGTAGTCCTCGTTTAGCGACCACAATTGGGACCGACAACTCAAAGCAGGCACTAAGTGAAACCGCGACTGGGCTTAGGATTTGACTTCAGCTTTCCGTTGCTTTACAGACCTGCGAAGGTCTTAAATGCGAGGATTGGTCGCAAAGTTACTTGTTCATCACCGTCGTAACTGCGAACGGTCGCTAAATGAGGACTATCTGTATTTGCAAGCCAAGCTTGCACTGTTACGATGCACCTGGTCTTTTGTAAAACTCTGCTGCAGAACAACTGCCCAGAGTCGCCGGGAGCCGGGTGGCATATGCATTTTACTAAATCGTCATCAGCAACCACAGCAAGGGTGGTTCTCTTTGTTCCTGGAGAGAGAGATTACCTGCATTGGCTCTGCTTAGTTCCTTCCAGTTGTGTCTCCCAGCAGCTCACGGTGGAGGGTGCCTGTGGCCTCTCTGTGTGAGTTACCGCTCTGGGATTTGCCTCTTTCCGGTAGAGGAACGTGTCCAGAAAAGGTGGCGTAGAGAGGCCGCTGGGAGAGGTGGGTTTTCCTCTGGAAGAGTAACTCTCAACCCGTCAGCCGGGGAACGAAGGGCATTGTGGTGCAGTACAGTGGGGTGCTCTGAATTGAGAGGGGCGGGACGTGAAACCTGCTGACGTTGGAAAGGGTCCAACTGAGATAATTGCGTAGACGTGAGGCTCTTTGCTCAGAGGAGGTTGCGGGAGAGGGTGATCGAATGGGACAAGTTCAGTCCTGGCTTATCCACCCACAATTCTCCCTGGAGGGCTGTGCCATCAGGAACAGCCTTAGCAACCGGGCTGCGCAGCCAGGAAGAACCTCCTTCTAAAGGCTGCTGCTCCCTCGGACGCCCTCGCCAGCACGCCTGCCGAGGCGGCGGGGAGACCCGCCTGCCGCTTCTGCAACCCCGGCTGGGTCCCTGCCCCCCTTCCCTCCCCCCCCCCCGCCCGTGAAAAAAGCCCCCACACTTTTTA